TTTTAATTGATCCCAGTGACTTTTTTGTATTTTTATTGCCTTGTGGCCAAATTCGGCTTGTCTTTGGTTCGTTGGTTTTATATTTACATTGAATTGGAACCGCCCTGTCTTCATATGGTTATTGTTTTTCATAATTACAGGCACTTGGAAATGCTGTGATTGATGTGCAAACAATGGTGAACAAGCGTAAGGACCGTGTCTTTTTTTATAACGATCCGGATACTGACTATGAAGTAGACGAAAGTAAGGAAATACTTTTTCAGCATTAGAGATTTTTGTTCTGAGCTGTAATCGAAATCCCCCTCCCACGTAATAACTTCTTACTTTTCGGCAGGTTATTACTCGTGTTTCGGCGAGTTTTAGAGACCATGCAAGCGCCGACTGAATTCCTCTCCGGTGGGATGAAGACAGCAAAATTAGAAAACTTTTATCATTATCACCAGCAGCCAATCATTCAATTAGGTATCTTCTGGCATAGCAAACCTAGAAAACTTACTATCCAGAAATGCTGGTAATTTAGGGACGCGTTGGTACAAAACAGCAAGTGACTGAAATAATAATTAGCAACACGCACCAGCCTAGCCGGTGCGACCATGCGTTTTGTGCAGCCACCGAACGATTGCCTATTAATGATTTTCACTACTTTGTACTTTAGTCTGTGCAAAAATAGTTGAAACATTGAAAAATAGTTAAAAATTTCACGCACCGGCGCATGAAAGCTGAATTCGAAATCTTGAGGGGTGAATATCTTTCCGTGCTTCCCGAGACAATAATTCACCCGCCAAAATTTTTTTGGTGATACCCGAGAATGCGAGAACGCTGAATTTGAATTAGTAAGTCTCACTTAAATTAGTAAGTTTTCATTACTGTCTCCTGCAATTGCGCATCCTGCCATCTGCACTTCCAAGGTTGGCCTGTAAGCTGCAATCTACTTAGTAAGGTCGTACGTAGGCAAGGGGTCATTACCGTAAAACTTCAGCTTTGTAGACTTCGTGGTTCCCGAGATAATAATTTATTCGCAAAAAATTTTCACGGGGCCGTAAGTGGTACTCGAGAGTGCGGGAAAGCTGAATTTGAATTTGTGCGTGGGTAGGGGTCAAAATCCTAAAATTTCAACTTTCTAGACCTGGTGGTGCCCGAGATAATAATTTACCCGTCAAAAATTTTCATGGGGCCGTACATGTTTAAAGCTGAATTTAAATTTTCTGGGTAGCACATGGGGGAGGGATCCACGAAATTTCAGCCTTCTAGCTTCCGTGGATCCCATGATAATAATTTTATCCGCCCAAACTTTTACGGGACCGTACGTGTAGCACCTGCGGGTACAAGAAGACTGAATTTAAACTTGCGGGGTCGCACGTGGGTGGGGAACATCCCCTAAATTTTCAGCTTCCTAGTTTTTGTGGTTCCCGAGTTGAAAGTTGCGGACAAGTTGCTGCAGACATACAAACACAGACAACTGCGCGACAATATACGTTTTGTACTGCCGTTACACAGCACAAAACGCATAAAAATTGAACGGCTGATTCATGTATAGAGTCTTGAGCTCTTCTGCATTTATCATTGCTGCTGTTGCTGTTCACAGCAGCAATTCCTCCTCGAGATCGGGCATGAGCTGGATCCTTTGGGGGAAATGGAAGTGAGCTGTTGAGTTTTCATCGGCTCGAATTTAGTTTTGTCGCCTGTTACAAAAAAGTGATGGATTTTGATTTGCAGAGTTTAAAAGTTTATGGAGAAATGCATCAGTTGATCATCTGGATGAAAAGAAAATAGAGGAATACCTTCAAAAGCATGGTATTGATGTGATGAAAGATTTAGCACCAAAGAAAGTTTTC